TTCCATAAGACTTACCTAATGGTCTTACCCCTCAAACTCCGATCTATGTTTCATCTTTCCCCACTGTACTAATCATTATTTAATTTTTAAGAGATTTTTCATTCAACATATATGTTTTCCTGTATGTACGTGTGTGCACTGTGTACATCCCAATTGCCCACAGAGGCCAGAAAAGGGTGCTAGATCTGAAACTGGAGTTAACAGACAGTTGTAAATAGTTACATGGGTGCTGGAAACAGAACCTGGCTGCACTACAGGAGCAGCAAATGTTCGTCGTTGCTGAGACATTTCTCCAGCCCCCGTTTAATATGCTTCAGATACCTGCTAATTACCTGTGTTCTCCTTGAAAATCTAAGTCTCATGGAGACTTCAAAATCCAGTACCTAGCAAACAGGAAGAAATGGATAAACAGTTCTACTATGTATGTGTATGCACATACAATTTATGACGGTGTATGCAAGTGTGCATGTGTGTGTTCCCATGTGTAACTGTTGTGCCTTTGTGGGTGTATTTGTTCCCATGTGTATGTGTGTGGAGGCCAAAATAAGACATGTGTTGTTTTCCTTATTACTCTCCATCTTCTTCCTCATTAAACCCGGAGGTCACTGTTCTTAGACAGTCTGGTTGACCACCAAGCCGCAGTATGCTCCTGCCTCTGACCCACCAATGCTAGCTTGTAAGTCAGTAGCAATACTCAGTTTCTTACGCAGATGCTCGGATCTGAACTTACATTCTTAAGTTCTTATGTATGGAGCCATATTTCTAGTCCAAAGAGACTGTTCTTAATGCATGAATTTAAAAGCTCTTTCTAAAAATTAAATGTAAATCTAAATGGATTTTTAACTTTATAATTAAAGGAATATTACAATTTGCCATCTGCTGTTTAGTGTATACTATCTAATATTAGCTTCTGATGCTCTTTCTCTCCCCCTCTCTCTCTCATAACTCAAGTCCAAAAACTAACATTTCTAAATAGCTTCACAAATGTAGACAAAAATGAGTTAAAGGAAGTAACTTCTCTTACTATTTTTCTGTGTGTCACTCAGATATACAGAAGAAGGCAGGAACAAATGACTGCATTTCATTTCATAAATAAAACACACAGCACTTCTATTTCAGCCTTTAAGGGGTCTATCTTAGCAGTCACTGCATTTCTGCACAGCTCTAGCGCAATGCAGATCAGGTTACTAAGAGTGTCTGCTCTCTTTACCTTGTGAGGTTCCAGTCATGTTAAACTTCCCGCGGTGAAAAGCTCAGGCCATGAGTGAGCGTCTGATGTGCCATCTACTGATGAGTAGGATTTTAAAAGCTCCCACTTTCAGGCTTTTAACAAAAGTGGGGATCAGGAAGAGTCAGTCTGGCTTTCCCCTGGGATGAAATTCAACTTCATAGCAGAAAGAATGCTTTTGTCTCACAGTTTTGTTCTGTGCTTAGCTTGTCCCATTGTTTGTGGTCTTTGGGGAAAGGACACCATGAAGAGGGAGCAGGAGGGGGAAGAGGAGCCGGGGACAGTCCCCATGTACACATTCCAACTTCACTGGGACCAACTTCCTCCCAATGGGTGCTGAACTAGGAATCCATCAATGAATTAGTGCACTGATGAGGTCACAGTCCTCAGGATCCAATAACTTCCCAAAGCCTAATGACTGGCAGCCAAACCTTAAGACTCTGGAGGACATTTCAGAGGGCACCCATAGTTTAAACTATAGCAAATACCATATCCAAAATACATTTCAGACATCAGGGGAGTCAATACAAATTAGAATTCCAGAATATTTTCTAGAAGACTTCCATCTACCACTCATACATGACTCTAATATATAAATGCTGTAATCAAATGATGGCTGTCTATTTAGTGAATTCTTTGATGAAATCAAGTAAGAGACTTTACAAAGTCTTGCTCATTTTCTTAAAGTTTAGATTATTTAAACACAAATTTAACCATCTGTCTCAAAGCTGGACTCATTCCAAACTGGTTTTCATGATTAAAGTATTCTAAAGAAATAACTCAAAGATCTAATCAATTTTAATTGGCTATAAAATATTGCAGAACTATTCATAATGCATGAAGAGGCAATTTAAGAAAATCTACTTCCCAATTACAGAAAAATTTCCTTTTGAATGAGATCTGAAGCTACTGCCTACAGTTCCAGCAACAGGTCCCTCTTATTTGGTCTGCATAGGGTAAGGATGACCAGGGACGTGCCAATCCTGAGCACTCTACCATCCCTCAAAGAGAACAGATAATTGGGAGCAAGGGGGGCTGTTTCCCCACTCTTATAATAAAAGAGAGTGATAAGATCCTCCTGGCCTTCCTAAACTGACGCTACTGGGCTGGTGTGACCAAACTCTGCCTCCTTTCCTTGATGCGGACGGGAGATCAAGCAGAAGCATTCATGCTTACACTCACACAAGAGGAGGCGTACACTAGCGTGACTACTTTGAAGCTGGGTAAATATACAACTCGAGTCTTTCTAGCCACAAGTCAATTCGGTAGGCTGCAACCAAATACATAATTAGTAAGCAATTTGTTTAAATATCTTTTCTCATTTCTTCATTATATCCTCAAGTAAACTATAAAACTTCCAACAAAACCATATTTAAGTTCACTTTATTTAATACCATCTGCTTCAATATGGCAATACCTAAATTTTGTGAAATTAGCATTCATGACATTTATTATTTTGTGAGAGAGGTTTTTTTTTTTTTTTTTTTTTGAGACAGGGTTTCTCTGTAAAGCTTTGGAGCCTGTCCTGGCTGGTCTTGTAGACTAGGCTGGCCTCGAACTCACAGATATCCACTTGCCTTTGCCTCCTGAGTGCTGGGATTAAAGGCATGTACCACCACCACCAGCCAATGACATTTATTCTTAAAACAATTTTTTAGGGATTGGAGAAATGGCTCAGGGGTTAAAAGAATTTGTTTCTCTTTCAAAGAAACTCAGGTTGGGTTCCCAACACACACATATGGTGGCTCACAACCACTCCTAACTCTCGTCGCAGGGAATCCAATGCCCTCTTCTGAACCCTGTCACCAGACACACATACGGTATACATACCTATACATAGGCAAAACACTCATACACATAATATAAAATTTTTTTCAAATATTTATTTATTTATTATGTATACAATTTTCTGTCTGTGTGTATGCCTGAAGGCCAGAAGAGGGCGCCAGACCTCTTTACAGATGGTTGTGAGCCACCATGTGGTTGCTGGGAATCGAACTCGGGTCCTTTGGAAGAGCAGGCAATGCTCTTAACCACTGAGCCATCTCTCCAGCCCCAATATAAAATTTTAAAACCCCTTTTTAACTAGTTTTTAAAGTATGCTACATCTAGAATTTTAAGTGTCTAAACATAAAAATACAGGTGAAATTGATGTATATTTCCATAGCATGAACATATGGGAAAAACAATGGGTTCAAAATATTTGAGAACAAATAGACAACTCTCAATACAAATGAGAGAAGAACGTGTGGGTTACTAACCATCTAAAAGTTAGGGTAAAGTGCTTTTGTCTTCCATTTTCACTAATAATGTTTTATGAACTCTTGCTCGTCATTAGAAAAAGAAAAACTAACAAGTTTGCAGAAACTGAAATCACATGGTCCTGGTTTCAACTAGTCTTCCATCAAAAACTTAGACTGAGTAAATGTGTGTCTTTGAGAGTTTCTCAGGGTTTAGGGGCTCCCTCAAGGAGTGGTAAAGCACTTACTCCAGGTTCTATCTACAGCACAACAGAGAGAAAGGAAGAAAAGGGGAAGATGGAGAAAAGGGGAGAGAGGGACAGAGGGAGGGATTGGGGGACAGAGGAAAGGAGGAAGGGAAGGAGGAATAGAGGAGGGAAATGGAGAGACAGAGGGAAGGACGAAGGGAGGGAGGCAATTAAAAGCATTGACTTCAGAAATTCTCATTGGCTTGCTACTATAGTGTTTCACCAGGCTCAAAAAGAATCACCTATGAATTTCTGTAAGGCAAGCATTAACAAAAACAAAAACTATTTAAAACACCACAACAAATTTTTGTGTTTAAACAAAACAAATCCACATCATTAAAAACAGGTATCTAAGAGTAGTGATGAACTTCTTTTCCTTACTAGTCATTCTCTACCGGACAGGAAAGCCATGTGAAGGGGGAGTACAACTGAAGAAGTGACAGTCATTCAAGCTGTCACTGGCTCTGGGTGGGGTCTCACATGGATGTTTATAACTCAATTAACAAGCTGGAGAGGCCTGGCTGAGAACAAAGCAGTCAACTTTCCCAAGTTAACTACACAGATAGACTGAGAAAGAAAATAGCACTGGGGGCAGGAGAGATGGCTAAGCATTCAAAAGAATGCTTTCTGAGGACCTAAAGTATTCTTTAAAATAGCAAAGGAATAATGATTATGTATATGAAACAAGAAAAAAAACTCCAAATTAATAAGAACATGCCAATCTCAAAATAGTTAAGATGAACAGAAATACATAAAAAGAATCTATTTTCTCTATAAAGGGCTCCTGAGATTGAACAGGAAACAGAATAAGGATTGGTAGGGATGGAATGGAGAAGAGAGTGAGCAAGAGACATGGAAGGTAGGTAAAAAACATGAAAACATGAAAATTAAGCTATAATGACAGTGTTAAGCCATAAAACGATTTTTCTGTTTTAATGCTATAAGCAAAAAGGTTTGAAAAGACTTCTAAACAGAGAGCACTACTTTTCTCATCTAATACTCTAATTAAATAAGTAAATTGAATGCAAGAGAGATGTACATATTCCTTGCTTCCTTTACAAACACTACATAACAGCTAATGTGAACTAATCAGAATCACTCTGAAGCTCTTAAAACACAAAAAAAGGGAATTTGCAGCAGCTCAACAACCAGTCTATTTTGATATATTTTGAGATTTTAGAATGTAAATTGCTCGAAATTGGATAATTCTACTCTACAAAGACACCTATCAGCCGACCAGAACAGAAACCATCACAGTATACACTCTTCCTGGTGCTGCCATACCTTTGGCTAAAGCTTCTTTATATTTCTCTTTGGCAGAATTCATTTCTTTTATTAATTGTCGATAGCTGGATTTTAATTTCTCCAATTCTGTCTTTGTGACCTGTCAAGGAAACAATATGCAGAAAAACTTTTAAGTGTTTACATTTAAATGAGTCAACAGTTTACATTCTAAAGATTGGATGATGCATATTTTAAGGCCAATAGGAAACAAGTAATCTTTGCTGGAAAAAAAAAACACAGACAATAAACTAAAACTCAGCTTTAAAATCCATGATAAATTCAATATGACATACAAACGCAAACTTCCTTTAAAAGACAAATCAAGAATAACACGCCGCTAGGAGACTCACAACAACCTCCCTGATCCTATGGCTCTTACAATCTTGCCTCCCCATCTTCCACAATGAGCCTTGAGTCTTAGTGTTCTTGAGCCAGAAGTGTTCTGCAGCACATAATGTAAATTTATTAAGGAGAAGCAAAAAAAGCATTTCCAAAAGCGGGGTGGTCCATGTACCAATGGTCAGTCACAAAAATATACACTCAAATAATATTATATAAAACAGTTTAGTTTACATTTGGAAGTGTGTGTCTGTGTGTGTGTTTTGTGTGTGGGTGCAAAATAACAATTAAAGAATAAAGAGACCATGAATTTGAAATTGAAAGAGACCTTGGAGGTATATTCAGAGAAAGGAAAGGCAAGGGAGAAATGCTGTAATCATATTATAATCTCAAAATTTAAAAAGTAGAAAAAAGAATAACATAATAATCATTGCAGAGGTCCAAAAAACGTGAGCCTATTTCCACGCTGACCAAAGGTCAAAGAGTTGGAACTTACTCCTTCAAGGTTATTGTGTTTCTACCTCAAACAAAGGTCCCACATAGCTTTAGAACAGAGTTCTGCTCGCTCAAGGTTATTGTCAACAGGTGTGGCTAATATCTAGACCTTATATTTGAGGAATAGAGAAGTAGATATATTTCTACCTCAAACAAGCAAAAAGAATGAAAGGAAAATTCAAAATTGAAGGAATTCAATTGCATATAGCAAATTATCTAATTCCTTTAGTTAGTAAATGTTAGTTTTCAAAAAATAAACAGGAAGACCAACCTGTGGACTGAAACGCAATTATTCAAATACAACTCATGTCTCAGACTAGATCCTGACTAAAATAAACCATTTGAAACCACTTAATGTGCAAGTATTTAAACACTGGATATTTAGTAATACTGACTTCTGACATTTTTAAGTGGATTAATGAAAATGTTCTTATTTTTAGAAGGAATCCTTTTATTACAAACATACACTAAAATGTTTTGGGACAAAATGATATTGGGGTTTCCTTTAAATGAACCAATACTGGGAGGAAGCACGAGACCACATAAAACAAAAGAGGGGTAGTGACCTGGGGGACAGTTAGAGGGGACTGTGCTGCTCTTCTGTTTGGACAAGCAAAGCTCTGCAATAAATGTTAAGAAATTACCCAGAAGAGAAAAACTCTAAATGCAAAAAACTCAGGAATACACTGACTAAGTTATTACTAATACAAGGAAATATATACATATTTAATTTTTATATAAGCTAAAAGCAATTTCTTTTAATTCTTTTCTAAGTTTTTTTATTTCATTTATGTTGACAATTTTGCTGCCATATCTGTGTACTGTGTGCTTGCAATGCTCACAGAAGCCAAAAGAGGGCGTCAGATCCCCTTGGACTGGAGTTACAGTTGGTTGTGAGCTGTTAAGTGGGTGATGGAAAAGCAACCAGTGTTTTAACTACTGAGCCATCTCTCCAGCCCTAAAAACTATTTCAGCAAACAAAAAATACATATTCCAAGTATTACTTGTATACTACAAGATCTCTGAGACAGAGCATGATGGTTGTTGCTCTTTGTTGGTAGTGAAATGATATCTTACAATCATTTCAAGCAATACAATACAATATTAATATTGTAAAATACAATCTTACAAGCAATATTTTGTACACAGTAAAGTATTACTTACTAAACACACCAAACATTTCTTGTCAGGAAATGACAATTTTAAGGCCAAACAGGACAAAATATTAACATAAGTTCTAAACGAAACTCATGAGAACACCAACTAGAGCCAGACCAACCTTGATCATCTCTGCCTCTATCTGCTGGTGAATGCCTACGTAGCTCTTCTTCACCTGCTGCTTGTCCTTGATCATCATGGTGAGCCGGTGCAAGGGCCCAGAGTTCAGGTCCTCAGCGTGGGTCTTCATTATCCTACTTAGCTGCTCCGTCTGCTGAATCATCAGTAGCCAAGACTTTAAAAATAATAAAGAAAATTGGAAGTTTCCATTTAACTATGATTATATGATTATGTTCAAAAGTTATAAATGTTTACTTTATAACAGCCTTTACATTATAAACAGCAGGTTTCTGTAAAACTGTACAATGAACTATGATCTGTAGTCAACATCTTCAAGAACAAATGCTTCAGATGTCAATGAGAGCCTATGCAGAATACTGTAATGTACATGATATATGGCCTATGAACTCATCATTTTTCCTTTCAAATATGCAAATATGGCAGCTAACCTGCTCTTGATACCACAAAATAGTTTAAAACTCAAGTCTCACTTCCTTTGAGATCTAAAACTTAACAAGCTGCACATGGTAGCTCATGTCTGTAATCTCAGCACAGAAAGGAGAGGAATATGAACTATCACAGGGTTGAGGCCATCATGAACTACATAATGAGTTCCAGACCAGCTTGGACTACATTGTGGAATCCTGCCTCAAAACTAACAAAAAAACTGATGTAATCAATTCATTAACATCTCTTTAATTAGTTACTTTTAATTGAATATTTAATTAAATATTTATGTATTCAAATCCATAGAACAACAGAACATAATTACTGTCTTCAAACATAAATAGCAATAATAGCTTGTATAATTATCTTTTTTATCTGGCATTTTTATCCTAAAAATATATTGAGAAAAGGTATGTGGCATGTATAGAAAATTAAAGCAATAGTAATTAAATAAGCTAAGCGCAAGAAGTCCATGTTCTTGTCCTGCCTTCCAAAAGCAAAAACATTCTCTAAAACACTGTAAACATTTTTTTTTTTAATTTTGGTGAGTCTACATAGGAGTGCTGGCAGCCTAGGGGGAAGCCATGTTGAAGCCAATATTAAAGACTATACAACTAGGTCAGGTTGCCCTACGTGCCCATGGAGGTGCATCCTGTGTTGCCCAATACCCCACTGCACACTGCCCACCTCACACGGCCCTCAACACCTCCCAATACCCCACTGCACTGCCCACCTCCCGTAGGAGTGGCACTATTAGGAGGTATGTCTTTGCTGGAGTAGATGTGGCACTGGAGGAAGAGTGCCACTGTGGGAGTGGGCTTTGAGGTCTCCTATGCTTAAGCTAGACCCAGTTCAGTTCATTTCTTGTTGTCTGTGGATCAAGATGTAGAACTCTCAGCTTCTCCAGCACCATGGTTATGGTGTCTTTTTATAATCAATAGAAACCCTAAGACAGGAGGGAAAAAAGAAGGAAAGAGAGGGGAAGGGAAGTAGAGAAAAGAAGAAAAGTTCTATTAAATAACCACTGTTTTCTTCTTTTTTAAAAAAAAATATTTATTTATTATGCATACAATATTCTGTCTGTGTGTATGCCTGCAGGACAGAAGAGGACACCAGACCCCATTACAGATGGTTGTGAGCCATCATGTGGTTGGCAGGAATTGAACTCAGGACCTCTGGAAGAGCAGGCAATGCTTTTAACCTCTGAGCCATCTCTCCAGCCCCACTGTCTTCTTCTTTCAAGTCCTGTGCACCACACAAGAGAAAAAAAAGCGAACAAAAAAAAAAAATCTGATGGTCTCCATCATTTATCCAACCTCACTCCTTCTAAAGCCAACCTCTGTGGTCCAACTTTCAGCACCTCACACTGTGGATCATGGCCCCATATGGAGTGCTGTCACTGAATGTGGGGTTTGAGTGCACACACGTGCACGTGCACACACAAGCACACACAAGCACACATCAGCTACCTTGTAGCATGATTACAACCAAGTGAAGAAGTCTTTCTAGGTCAACCCATGTCATTCTTGACATGGCATGCTTTGTTACAAAGCAGCAGAGGTGAAAATCAAAGAGACTTCTCACTATAGTTTTGTTTTTAACTAACTAAAAATACTGGTAACCCTTTAGAATCCCCATTAAAAGAGGAATTAAGAAACAACACATCTTATGATGGAAGCAATCTAAATCCAACATTGGATAATTCAGAACCAGACCAAGTTAAGATAGAGATACTGATAGCACACACATTCCGTGCTCCAGAAAAACAAAATACTAACCTATTTTTTTTAATTTTATAACATCATTCAGAATTTGCAATAATATGGTTAAAATACTCACATAAAACTACTTTTACCTGAACTCTATGATTTTAAAATATTTATGTACTTTTTATTCTCTTTTGTAAAAATAAGATTTACCTAAAAATGAATGTACCATTTTTAAATTACAGCTTAAAAATGATTCCATTTAGAAAATTTTCCTTCTCCCCAACTATGGAAAAGAGGTTAGTTGCATGTACTAAATACAATCCCAGCGGTATAAAATAATCAATATAAATGAGAAAATGACAGTTTTGTGCTTTGGAAACCCACAGAGATCAACAGTATCAATTATCCTGAAATGGCAATATAACATTTAAAAAGTAAGCTGCATGCTCAGCTTATTAAAAATAAAAACTACACACAGGAGAAAACATACTCCTTTTGGGGCTGGAGATGGCTCAGCAGATGGGAGCACTGGCTGTTCTTCCAGAAGACCCAGGCTGGATTCCCAGCACCCACATTATGGCTCACAACCAGTTGTAATTCAGGTCCACGCAATCTCAAGCCAGTTCCAGGGGAGCTCTGCCCTCTTCTGGCCACTATGAACACTGTATACACATGGTGCAAAAAAAAAAAAATACAAGCAGCTAGAACACCCATGCACATAATTTTCTTTTAATTTTTTAAGAAAAAGTACACCTGTCAGAAAAGCACATGTCCTTTCTCGCCCTCCACCTTTGAACGAGCAGACATGTGGTGAGAGGAATCAGTTCCCAACACAAACAGTAATGTAAGTGTTATACCAAAAGTATGCATTCAAAGACACTGAGTCAAAGAACCAGCTACTCCTGAGCCTATAATTACAGCACAGCATTGAAAACAGTAAACAAGATGACTCAAGCTTGAAAAATACCTAAATAATAGCTGTCGAAACAGCTTTGTGCTATAGATTATATCCTCCAAGTACGTGCTTGCTTTCCTCTTGGTTGAATTTTTTCTCAAAAATTCAACATTAAAATTCCATGAAGAATGCATAGTTTCTGCACTACACAATAACTCAAAATAAATGATCCTCTGAAACAACAGCTTTTATTTATGCTTGCCTGTTATATAAGGAAAATGCTGGAGTCTCTAAGTCCTTGGGGGATACAAAAAGCCAGAAAGCAACTCATTAAATTTCCCTAAAACAGAGTTTTCAAAGATTCAACTCCAAGTACAAAGGAATCTTTAGATGTGCCCCACTCATAAAAAAACCTCTCTGCATTTTCTTTAAATATTGGTCTGCCTGCTCCAAATGGTCTCTAACCTGGCTATAGTCAAAACTAACTGAGCCTTTTGGAAACATCAGTTTAGGGAGTCTATGACCAGAATTCAGCACGCTTCTGAGACCTCTGTCATGGGGTCAAACCTCCCTGAGTAATTCCACCGTACAAGACCTGTTGTAACAAAGCATTTGTGTCACTAACAATCTCTTCACTGTACAAAAGTATACACTAAAAGTCACAGGGTTTACAGATGTGTTAGGAGGATAATATTCAAAGCATTAATCAAGGATGCATTTAAAAATACAGCAACTTCGTACAGCTTCACGTATATTAAGGGATTAAGAAATACACTACAATAAACATGGCACTTTCTCTTGAAAAGCCTAGAAATATACCCGTGAAAGTAGGTTTTAGAAGGATTATTCCCATGAGTTCCTGGAAGTGGTAGAAAAGACTATCTTATGAGAAAAGCAAGCTGCAGTACTACAAGCAGACAAGTTTGGCTCATAATAAAAGAGGAAACAACGGCAGCCAGCAAAGGACTGTGGTGCATGTCTAAAATGTGTCCTAAGCAACTTGGTTCAACTGGGTACCATTCATAAATTAGCCTAGTGCTTCCTCCACTTCCGTACATTAGGAAAATACTCATGAAGTTCAACTTGTGCCTTAATACATCACTTCAGTTATAACAAATTCACATTTCAAATCAAATGGTACAGAAGAACTAACTCTATATCCTGAGAATTATAATATAAATTATATACTATTATATATAACAAATATATTACATGCACGATGTTTGTATCATGTGACTCTAGATCATCAAAAAATTTTAGGGTAGTATATGAGTACTCCTAATATTTCTATCTACTTTGTATTAAAAAGATTAAGTCAATATCTCCCTTCAAATAAATTGTATTGAGGATTACTTATGTCATATAATGTACAGAAACAGAGTTGAACATACTACACAGCTGGAATTTTAATGACCAACAAAACACAAAGTAAAAATGACCTTCTGTATAGAGTAAAACAAAAGAAGTAAAATGGTTACAGTAGCGGAAAGATTGCTCAGTGGTTAAGTCTTTGCTACTCTTGCAGAACATCAAAGTTTGGATGCTAGCACCCACACCGAATGGCTCACAAACATCTGTAACTCCGGCTCCAAGGGACCTATCTCCCCCTTCTGGACTCTGTGGGTACCTGCATACAATGTGCACATATACACACATATCCACGAGACACACACATACATATGCACATAAATAAAAATATAACTGTTTCTAAAAAATAAAATAACGGGGGCTGGAGAGATGGCTCAGAGGTTAAGAGCATTGCCTGCTCTTCCAAAGGTCCTGAGTTCAATTCCCAGGAACCACATGGTGGCTCACAACCATCTTTAATGGGGTCTGGTGCCCTCTTCTGGCCTGCAGACATACACACAGACAGACTATTATATACATAATAAATAAATATTAAAAAAATAAATAAAATAAAATAGCGGCCAGGTGGTGGTGGTGCACACCTTTAATCCTAGCACTCGGGAGGCAGAGGTAGGCATATCTCTGTGAATTCAAGGCGGTCCTGGTCTACAGAGTGAGTTCCAGGACAGGCTCCCAAGCTACAAAAAAAAAAAAAAAAAAAAAAAAAAAAAAAAAAAAAAAAAACTGTCATGAAAAAACCAAAATAAAATAGCTATTAAACACATGGAAAAGGTAGTTAATTACTCTTTTAGAGAAATACATGATAGAATGTAGTATATTTCATTTAGTATTATATTTCCTGTTTATGTTTTAAGCTAAAGTTTACTGAAAAGACAAAAACTAAATGAAAGGACTGATTCCAGACTTAATTTTGGGTCAAGGTAAGAAAAGCAACATTTTTCAGAAAAGGCCATTACTGGAACAGTGGACAAGAGCTGGAGGCTTGGAAGATGGCTCAACGGATAAATGCTTATCACACAGACATGAAGACAACTGGAACTCAGATTCCCAGAACCCACATAAAGCCAGGCAGCTGTGGATTCTGGCCTGTGATGCCAACTCTGGGTAGAAACAGGACTGCTGGGGAAAGCTGGCTATTTAGACCAGGTCGGGGTGTCATGTTTGTTACTGAAGGGGCTATGTGGTGGGTTGGAGGACAACCAATAGGAGTTGCTTCTCTCCTTTCTACCTTACTGAGGTAGGTCTCCTCACTTCTGCCATGCTCCATGCCAGGCTGTTTGCCTCCAGGTGACTATCATGCCTCTGCCTCCCATCTCATGGTGGATTATAGAAGCACATGACCTCACTCAGCTTTTCACAGGGCCTCCAGGATGGAAGTCACATTGTTAGACTGCACAGCAAGAGCTTTTAACCACTGAGCCATCTCACCAGACCAGGAAATTTATTTTTAACAATGTTTAAACAGTAACATGTATTATGACTGAACTATTATAATTTGACTCATTATATAGCAGAAAACACATGCACAAATATTTGGGAACAAAGGGACATAATGCATCCTAAGTACCTCATAAATTGTTACACTTTCTGTGACAGTAGAGAAATGTGTATTAATTTATCCACTTACCTAAAATGATAGCTAGACAAACATATAAAATAAGCACTCAAGGGACACTAGTCTGCAGTAAAAAAAAAAACAAACAACAAAACAATGATTCCTCAGAGACTATAAATCATGATCTAAACCCTAACATTACTAAGGCTAACTTGATTTAAAAAAAAAAAAAAAAGTCTAGGTCACAAGTAAGCAAAACCCCAGTAATGTCCAGTTGAGAAGAGTGACTTCAGGACACAAAGGGGCCAAAAAAAAAAAAAAAAAAAAAAAAAAAAAAAAAAAAAAACTTGCAGATTAGCAGAACTCATGGTCACCTAGAGAAAGAATACAGACAAAACATTATAAAAGAGAGCTGGACACAGAGAGAAAACTCTGGAGACCTACACAGACCCTTCCTCAATAACAGAGGTGAGTACTGGACAGCTTGAATGTGTGAGAAAACCACTAAGACCTAAAAAGCAACCACCCAAAAAAAAGATCGCAAGAAACCAGTTGAGAACTTACAGGGCCACAACTCACGATAGTGTCCCACAGTCAGAATTTTTTTTTTTATAATAAATACACACGCTTTTGTATTAAGAATGATCTTGCTATGTAGAGAAGATAAAGTGATCAGAAATCAAATCAATCACAGCTGGACCTAACAAATGTGAAAACAAGAAACCAGAGGATCACACTGTCTGCAAGTGGTTCAGCTGCATCCCAAAGCAAAGCTCAAAAATAGGGAGGGACAACAAACACGTCTAACAAGATAAAAAGTACTGGCCGTGATGCCTGGAAGCTATTCAAGGATTATTAAACAGACAATACAGGAAAGTGCCACTAAAGTGAGGAGAAAAGCTAAGCCAGAGGTGAGGGGTGAATACACAGCCCAGCGGCAGCAGGCTTGCCTGACACACACAAAGCCCTGGGTCTGAACCCAGCACTGCATGGGGGAGGGGAGAACAGGAAAGACATAAAAGTGGCCCACATGACAGAACAACAGGATAACCAGAGAACTACCATGACTACATCCTGTCCATCAAGGAAACTAGAAGAAACAAACATTAAGTAGAAGCATGCAGACACAAGAGAGACTGACTGAAAAGGATACTTATGCTTAACTCATTATTAACATGGGACCTACACATAATCATCAGAGAAGTCAGGGCCATGATGAGCAATCCCATGTGTCTTTTTAATTCACTCTGAGTGTAATTCTGTAACTGGTGAATGACAGACATTTACTTTTATTCTTAAGCACATGGCTATGCAGTTTTTCCGTGTCTTTAACTTAAGAGACTGGCCTTTTCCTACCGTGTATTCTAAGTGTCTTGGTTGAGAGTCACTGGGTCATGAAGCATTCCTTTATCTCTTTTGCTCTTGCTAAAACTACCTCTTGTTTCCATCTCATGATTGTGTGTTGTGTCACCTACTTGGAGAAACTGTAGAGAGCAAACGTGATTTATTAGCTTCCCAAATACTGTCTACTACAGACTTCAAAAAGTTGGGGAAAAGGTCTTAGAACTTTGAATGTTTTCATCAAAAAGAAATACATGATTAGAGAAACAGGGTTTTTTGATGTGGGAGTGTCATATATCAATCTGTTGATTTCATTGGTTAATTAATAAAGAAACTGCTTGGCCTGATAGGTTAGAACATAGGTGGGTAGAGTAGACAGAACAGAATGCTGGGAAGAGAGGAAGTTAGGCAGACGCCATGCTGCTCCTCTCCAGGGCAGATGAAGCTCCGACCCAAGATGGACGTAGGCAAGAATCTTCCTGGTAAGTCACCACCTCGTGGTGCTACACACATTAATAGAAATGGGCCAGGCAGTGTTTAAAAGAATACAGTTTCTGTGTTATGATTTCGGGGCATAAGCTAGCCAGGCAGGAACGCATCCCACCGCTCCTTTCAACAGTTTTTAATAATATTTTTATTAATTCCTTGAGAATGTCATACCATGTACTGTGATCATATTTAGCCCCCAAATCTTCTCAGTGACCATCTCAGGTGTCACCTCCCCACCCACCCAACTTATTTTTTTTAACCAAAGTCCAGTTTGTGTTGCCCACCTACCCTAAGGAGTGGGACCTGCCTGGAATGTGATCTACTACTTACCAGAGATCATACAATTTAAGAAAAGTGACTAGTTCAATCTATTTAAATATTATTAAACATTACACAATGTACAAAAAGTCTCAAAACATTACTTAGTACTACATGAATATTCATCCACTAAAAATAAATTTAAGGCTGGACATGATGGTTTACAGTTTTAATCTCAGAAGTTGGGAGGCAGAAGCAAGTATATCTCTTGTGAGTTTAAGGCCAGCCTGGTCTACATAGTGAGTTTCAGGACAGCCAGGGCTATGTAGAGAGACCCTGCCTCAAAAAAAAAAAAATTAATTAATTTTAGTTTGAGAAAAACAATCAATTAAAGGGGGTAAATAAATTAAAAAATAAAGGAAGATGGAACAAAGAGAAAGTAAATGTTAAAATAGTAAACTGAACTATATTTAATAATATCAAATAATCACATTAAATTATATTGTAAACTAAAAAGATATTAAAGTGAGCATATAAACATTTACAGGAGATAGGAACTGGGGAGAGCCCTGAGTGAGTAAATGCGGTGGCTGTGCAACCCTGAAAGTCTGATACAAATCCCTACACCCACATAAAAAAAGCCAGACATGACCACATGTGCCTATAATCCCATTGTTTTAAGGCAGCAATAGGTGGATCCCAGGAGTCTGCTGCCCAGACAGTCTACCCCTAGCCTAGTCCTTGAGTTAGGGACTTTCCACTTTGGTGGAAAGCCACAGAAGACAGCCAATGTCCTCCTCCAGTCTCCAAGTGCAGTGCTCAGGTGTGTGCATTTGCACACACACATATCTCCACATACATGCAAACATCATATTTGTAACATTTAGAGGAAGCAGATAAAAGAGCAGTAAGAGAAACTTTAGAACACAAGTTGACATGGGTATGCTTGTTCTATAGTACGATCCATTTGTTCTGAAGACAACTACGTTGCTATACAGAACAAGTAAAATCACTCTTACCTTGGACACATTACTGACATAATTCACCTGCACGGTACTTTCTTTATCAACTTGATTACAAAGATTCTGTAAAGTATACGCATATTCCTTATCGCTTTTTATTCTCAGAGCCATAAATTTCTTCACTGTTTCCAGCAACCGTAATTCCCAGTCTTGCAACTTTAACACAGCTTCCTGTGAGTTCCTCAGGTCACTCCCAAATCCCATTTTGTAAGGTACTGCTTGTCCTCTATACCGCACAAGTGGGCCTGCTAGTCAGCACATATCTGTGGGCGTAAACATAAGAAGTCTCAATTAGAAGGAAATTAGTCCACAAAGCAAAAGCATGGTCTATTGTTTTAATTTAAGAGTTTAAAAAAAAAATGGCAATTAGACGTCTTCCCCCAAAGATCAGGAAGAAATCAAGGATGTGCACTTGTGCTGTTGTATTGAAAGTTCCAGGTACTGTAATGACACCGTAAAATAAATGACAACTGGGAAAGGGGCTGAAGAGATGATACAGCGTTTAGAGTGCACACTGTTCTTCCAGAGGGCCCGAGTCCAGGTCTCAACAACAGCTCTCATAACAGTCTACACTACAACTCAGGGGACTCGACACCTCCGACTCCTCAGGTACCTGCATTACACACACATACCTGCACATAGGGACACACATATGCACAAATGAAAATTAAAAATGATGAGACTAGACAAGGAAGAAGTGAAATGGTTTCCACTTGCAGATGCACCACTTCACACAGAGAGAGAGTCTGGTATGTTACCAAGCATGACTGACAGAGAGGATGCCTATGTCTCCTCCCCAGCTGATGACCTATTCAAGAGGTGGTGGAAACTCTAGAGGGAGCCTCAGTAGGCAGGGACATCACTGGAAGGCGACCCTTACTGATTTTTCCTGGTTCTGTTCTTTCTGTCCGATTCCCAGTTTCCAAGGTGAGAAGCTTCTACATACACGCCTGCTACCATGGTATACTCCAAACCAAAACCTCAGAAACAGTCAAAGGACCATGGAAGGAAATCCATGAAACTGAGTAAACCCGCTTCATTTACATGGCTTTTCTCACACGTTTGATCATGCGACATGACACTCACTAACATACTCCATGCAAGGCCAGAGTTTAAAAAGTCAATCTAATGTCCACATATGAGCAACAATCAACCAGAAAATTAAATTAAAAATAAATTCCAATGCTGGGCAGTGATAGCACATGCCACTAATCCCAGCACTTGGGAGGCAGTGGCGGGCAGATCTCGATGAGTTCAAGGTCAGCCTAGTCTACAGAGTGAATTCTAGGACAGCCAGGGCAACACAGAGAAACCCTGTCTCAAAAAAACAAAGGGGGAAAAAAAATCAATGCCACTTACAAAAACATAAAAAAAAAAGAATAAAACAATTGGGAACAAATCATTTTTACTGCAAACTTGTGTTCTTCAAAATAAAAAGCTGATATAAATGAGATCCTGAAAGGTTCAAAGGTGAAAGAATTAGTGTTAAGAAAGCAAGAGACTTCAGTTTGATCTCTCCATTTGACATAAGCTATACTGAAAACATATTGTAGGTGAAAGAAAATTAAGATACAAAAGATCACATATTGCATACTTCTATTTACAGGGCATGTGGAAAATAGACCAATTAGAGATAGATATAAAATAGATCTGGGGCTGTCTAGGGCTAGTGAATGTGGAGAGAAATGGAGGCTGAGACCTGAGAGGTACTCTCGACGGTGACGGCAGCACAGCTCTGGGAGCCAGCTAAAAACACCTCAGCTGCACACTTCCACCAGGTGAACTCTTCAGGATGTGAGGGCTATGTTTTAGGTATGCTTGATGCATCTCAAGGCCAGATGTGTTGGGATTTAATCTCCAAGGAGAGGTAATAAAAGGTGGAAAGTTAATCCCACTGCGGTACTTAGCAGGAGGGCCTCTGGGAGATGATCAGGATGAAGTTATTAGCATAGAGTCCCGTGATTGAATCCTGATAGCAACAGCTCTACAAGATGGAAAGAACCCAGAAATTACTCTTTGCCTGCCTCTCTCTCCTCACTCCTCTCTTCTCTTTCTCTCCCCCTACACACACACACACACACACACACAACCCTCTTACTCCTTGAAATAGTCTCTTGGGTCTCTGGCAGTAAGGTCACCCCAGATGTGACTCACTGACCTTGCATCTCCACACCCTCAGCCCAAACGAGCCCATCTTATTTATAAAGTTACTCTGTCCATATTACAATGCGATTGGTGATAGAAAATGGACTAGAACTCAAACGGTAACTCAAAACAGTTATTTAAAACTAAGACATAACTTAAGGTATAAGCTAGCTATCATAAACCTCCCTAAGATATTCTCCTAAGCCTAGCCAGTTTGGATGTTCACATTCCTAGATATGGACGGAGGGGGGAGGACCTAGGACTTACCACAGGGCAGGGAACCCGGACTGCTCTGTGGACTGGAGAGGGAGGGGGAGAGGAGTGGGGGGAGGGGGAGAAGGGTGGGAGGAGGGGGAGAAGGGTGGGAGGAGGGGGAGGGAAATGGGAGGCTGGGAGGAGGTAGAAACTTGTTTTTTGTTTATGTTTTTTTTTCTTCTTTTCTTAATAAAAAAAATAAAATAAAAAAAAGATATTCTCCTTGTTTATTGTAAACCCTAAAAACTATTGTAAAATTTATTTTGCCCTCCAGTTCATCTCTCCAGCAGTGACTCTTTCAAACAGGCAGAAGAAATGTGAACCATGCCTTCCCTTTCCAGTTCTGGTTCGTCCGCTGTTTCATTGCTATGGTAGTGGCTCTTCGTTCATTTGTGTGGTGCTGGAAATTGAACCCCAGGCCTCGCACATGCTAGGCAAGTGCTCTCTACCACTGAGCTACAGTCCCAACCACAGATTCTGTTTCCAGTTAAGGACAGTGACACCATCTGAACTACACAGATACAAAAAGAGGTTTCTCTCTCTAACTTCATTTGCTTCATCTAAAGACATGTCAAAAATTATTGTCCTCAAAGTAGAAAATAACTTACAATTGTTCCCCAACTGAAAAATGTTCAATTGTATTAACTATAAAGTAATTAGAAAAATATTTATGAATTTTAAGAAACTCCTTGCTAAAATTTCCAAAGCAGCAATCAAGACTGAGTGGTCCTTAGCTGAGATGTAACAACAGAGGGATGAACTTATTCACCTGAGGGCCAAACAGGATGATTCCACGCTTCTGGCCCCAGACATCAGGTTTAAAACAATAACTTTGGGCCTGGGATTGGCTCAGTGGTAGAGCATTTTCTAGTATGCAAAGTCCATGGCTCAATCCCCAGGGCCACAGTAAAAAATTCAATCATTTGTGGGGCACAAAAACTGACAATGATTTTTTGTTGCTGCTGTTGCTATTTTTAACTGTAGCTGGTGAAAACATACTCCTCACCCCATGTTCAAAGGATAAAGACATTTTTGAAGGAAGAAATGTTGAGAATATTTTAATTTCTAAAAAATACACTAATCTTAAAATTGTGATTAGATTTAGTCCTAACGTGGCATAAATACCAACTCCGCTTCTAAATACATCTTGATAAGCATTTTATTTCTGCTAAAAGAAGCTTCAAAAAATTATGTAGAACTCAGAAATCTGGCATAATCTGGGAAATGTTCCTGCCTATGTTAAAAGCTTATTTATGTTTATTAATATTCTAGGTCAGAATATATATATACACACACACATATACATACATACATACACACACACACACACACACACACACACCTCTCTTTAGGAAAAAATGAAATAAAAATATTTTTAAAATAAGTCAAGTCCATAATAAATTAACTGTCTAATTGTTGGACTGTATGACATAGCAAATGCTTAAGGAATTAACTAACAGACCAATAAACTACATATAACTACCCTATTAATGACAAATCACATACACACACATATATGACTAGTGTTTGCATTAACACCAAACTACAGTACCCTAAAATAGTCACCAGTGGGCAGTGATTAAGTAGAGTGCAAACCAGCCCATGGTTCACCTTCTCTACCAGGAATGGTCAAGTCAAGCAGAAGGAATCAGCTAGAGAGACCCTGTCATAGCTAGCAATCCATTCAGGAATGTGATAGTACATGCTTATGAGAAGTTCTCTTACATTCTGACACTGGAACTTTTGCTGGGCTCACAGCCAAGGTCATAATATTCACTAAGATCACATAGACTTAGCCTGATGTCCTGCTGTGTGCTCAACCTGTTTAACCTCACTAGCTTCCTGTCTAATCTACTTTTACAACCTAAACTAATGCGTACCTGTAATCTTAAATTATGTATTCTTCCATGCACCTGACCGAGATCAATGAATGTATGTATATATGTGTATGGGGTTTTTTTTGTAAAAAAAAAAAAATATTTTTTAAAAACAATCTTTTCTCATTTTACATACCTACCCCAGTTCCCACTCCCTCCCCTGCTCTCACCCCACCCTTTCCTCCCATTCTACCCCCATCCATCACTCCTCAGAAAGGGTAAGACTTCCTAGGGGGAGACAGGGAAGTCTAACATTTCACTTCAAGCAAGACTAAGGCCCCCCTCCCACCATATCTATGCTGAGCAAGGTATCCCTACAAAAAGAGTGTGCTTCTAGATGCCAGATCAATCACTAAGGATAAATCCTGGTCCCACTATCAGTGGCCCCAAAGATTACCCAAGCCTCACAACTGTATCCCACATAGTGGGCCTCATTTGGTCCTATACAGGTTTGTATACCAATCCAGAGTCAGTGAGCTCTCGCTAGCTCAGATCAGCTGTTTCTGTGGGAAACCCCATTACGGTCATGACCCCTTTGCTCATATTATCGCTCCTCCTTCTCTTGTATTGGTCTCCAGCTCAGGCCAGAGCTTAGCTGTGGCTCTCTGCATCTGCTTCCGTCAGTGACTGGATGAAGGGTTCTATGATGACATTTAAGTAGTCATCAATATGATTACAGGGGAAGGCCAGTTCAGGCATCCTCTCCACTATTGCTTTGGGTCTTAGCTGATGTCATCCTTGTGGATTCCTGAGGATTTCCCTAGTGCCAAGTTTCTTGTTAGCACCATAATGGCTCTCTCAGTCAAGATATCTCCATCTCAACCATTCTGTTCCCTCATGTTCCCCTCCTCCTTACCCTTCTATCCCTCACTCCCAATTTTCTCAGGAGATCTTATCTAATTCCCCTTCCCAGGGGGATCTATGTATGTCTCTCTTGTGGACCACAGGCTGCTTATCCTTTGTTTTACGTCTAATACATACCATGT